CAATAATCATTCGAGCACTGCGACGGTATTAGCACACTTCAGTTCTGCTTCAAACATAGCATTGTCAAAATCATTTTTTAGTTCTTGTGCCACTTGGATGCTCACTTGAGGCCATAACACATTCTTTGGAATGACCAGACGGATAATCAAGAGAGGGAATGACACTGTCTACGATAGTTTCAAGATTCATTCTACGAGGGGTGTTTGGGTATGAGTTTTCAATGAGAAAGGCAATGGTATGTTTTTCTTTATCTAGGTGCGAAGCACGATGAAGAGGGGTCAATTTAGAGCTGCCAACTTTGCTAGATGATCGAGTGTGAGTCCGAAAGTCAAAGAGGGTGATCGTCAGAGGCTTCTGAATAGTAACTGTGTTGGGAATCAAAGTCATTTTAGGGGCCTTTGCTTTACGCTTGGCTTTGGCTTTGCTTTAGGTGGGGGCAAGAGGAGCCCGCATCTCAACCTGTTGAGGAATAATTGCAGTATCAGAGGTGTGAGCATTTTGGTTATCTTTTATAGTGTCATAGATTGGATGGAATATCGATTCACGAAAGAAACTCCCAGTATGTTTGTCACTTGTGACACCTTGTCCATTACTGGGTCGATGCTGTCTATGTTCCACCATCATCCACGGACCAAAGGGGTCAGTTTCAACAGATGGGGAGTGTGCATACGGAGGTTGTGGTTGTACTGGTTCAATAGGATCAGATTCAATGAGAGTACCAGGGTACGATTCCTTTATGTGACCGTACCTTCCACATTCAAAATATGTCAGAGGAATCGATTCATACTTATCTACCATTAACAAAGATTTTTTTAGATCAAAGGTATTCTAAGGCCTATACGAACAACCATTCACTTGAAATTTCCACGGTGTCCATTTTTCGTTTAATGACCAAATTTAACCATTGGTCCAATACATTCCCCAATCTCTGAGATAACACTTTTCTTGTAAAGCATGGCTAATAATCTAGGCAGACGGATCCACACATGTCTATTGTAAAAGTTATTTATGACAAAATTTGATTTAGAGTAATCTCTTCTTTCAAATTTATTGTTAATGATTTTGTCAAAATTAGCATTTTCTTTCTCAAGATCATCAATTTTCCTTTGATGATCCCCATTAACTTTGGAAAGCAAATTTTGCAAGTCTAAATTCTTTATCTTAAAAATATTTAATTTATATTGCAAATCCTTAACTTTGCTTTCAAGTTCATTATTAATCTTAGAAAATGAGTCATTTTCAATTTTCAGTTTTGAATGAATCTTTGTGTTTTGAAATCATGACTTCACATTCCAACACTAATTCATTATAGACATCTTGTAACTCATCAAATGTATATGAATTTGAGTTAGATAAGTTTGAGGATACCTTTGAATCTTCTTGGATGGCCATGAGGCAAAGGTTGGCTACTTCTTCATTTTCAACACCAGCGACGACTTCATCACTCCATGTACCCGCAAAGTTTCCCGACGTAGGATGCTTGTTGGAAGTTCTATGAGGCATTTTTTTATAACGAAAGATGGATACGACAAAAAGAATTTTCCTTTGGGAATTTTGTCGAACACTTGAAGGGCAAACCTAAAACAATGGTTATAGGTGAATGAGTTGACTTCCTGCAAGAAATATATGCATGTATATGTCCAATAAATAAACCAATTGTAGTCAAATAAGACAAATTTTTGCATATTTAAAAAATTTGTAACCTTCATGAAAACATTTTTGAAAATTTCTTGAATGAAAACATGTTGTTGAATCAATTAAAATAAGTTCAAACGATATATATCTATTTCTAGAATAAAATGTAACTTAAAAACAAGATTCAAGATGAATTTAATGCATGATTTTTTTTAAAAAAATGGAAAATAGGTTCATTAAAAAATACCTAAATCTTGATGAAAAATGTGGGTTTTTTATGAGTTCCTTGAAGAAAATCCACTTGATACTATGCAAGGATGATGAATTTGAGCAGAAATGAATTTGAGAGAATTTTGGGAGAGGGCCAGTTAGGGTTATGATAAAATAAGGGATTTAGGTATTTTTGAGATAAAAGGCATAAAAACACACGTACATAGCCCTCGATCTCGATATCGAGACTGGCGGTATCGAAACTCAATGCCCAGTGTTGATAATAAATAGGCAGTATAGATATCATTTTAGCTACTGAAATTTCAATCTCGGTACCAATGAGTTGGTCTTAAGAGTGACTGCTTAGAAATGACAAATTTGACATTTTTAACCCTAAAAATCTTCTAGAATAAGCACCTAATGATTTTAAGACTATAGAAAGCACTAGAGACTTATTTAAGCACTAAAGGTTATAATTTGATACTAAAATAAGGTTTTTTTCCTAGGTACTCTACTAGAGTGTATATTATGGACTTTTCAAAGAGTTTTCTAATTAGAACAAACAAGGTCAAAAACATACCACAAAAAATATTTAGGGGAATGAGCATGTCTATTGTAAAAGCTATTTTTGACTAAATTTGATTTGGAGTAATCTTTTCTTTCAAATTTAATTTTAATGATTTTGTCAAAATTAGCCTTTTCTATCTCAAGATCATCAATTTTACTTTGATGATCCCCATGAACTTTGGAAAGCAAATTTTGCAAGTCTAAATTCTTTTTCTCAAAAATATTCAATTTCTCTTGCAAATCCTTGACTTTGCTTTCAAGTTCAATATTAGTCTTAGAAAGTGAGTCATTTTCAATTTTTAATTTTGAATGAATCTTTGTGTTTTGAAATCATGACTTCACATTCCGACAATAATTCATCATATGCATCTTTTAACTCATCAAATATATATAAATTTGAGTTAAATATGTTTGAAGATACCTTTGAATCTTATTTGATGGACATAAGGCAAAGGTTGGCAACTTCTTCATTTTCATCATCGTTGACGCTTTCATCACTCCATATAGCTACAAAAGCCTTCTTCTAGCTTGATCACTTATTCTTTAGAAGAGGACATTCATATTTGACATGTCCTATTCTTTGGCATTCATATCACACCGGGAGACCTTTCTTCTTACTCAATTAATGCTTTACTTCTTTTTCTTTGGAAGACATGAATTTTGTGAATCTTTTGAAGAGCTTGGCAATCTCTTCATCTTCATAATCCACCTCTTCACTTGAATTTTCTTTATCTTCATTGGTGGAATTGAGAACAATGTCAACATCCTTTATCTTCTTCTATTTCTTCTTTTTCTTCTTGCTCCTCTTCTTTTACCATCAACTCATGAGTGAACAAGGAACCAATAAGCTCATCAAGAGTGAGAGACTTTAGGTTTTTTTCTTCGATAGTCATCGTCTTCTTCGATTGCCAATATTTTGGAAAAGAATATATCATCTTCCTCAAAAGTTTTTCATTAGGAATGATCTCTCCATATCCTTTGAAGCCATTGATAAACACGAAAAATCAATCCGTCATAGGTTTGATATCTTCATCCGGTTTCATCTTAAAATTTTCATAGCTATGGTTGAGAAGAATGATTTTTGTTTCCCTTACTTCATCGGTTTCTTCATGAGTGACTTGGAGCTTTTCTCAAATCTTATTGGCATTTGAACAAGAGGAGACTTTTCCATATTCATTCGGGCCTAATGCACAAAAAGAATGTGCATGACCTTGGCATTTTTTTTGGAAATTCTTCTTCTCTTCTTCACTCCAATCTTTTATCTAATTGGTTGGAGTAGAGTGACCTTTCATTATAGATTCTCAAGCCTCTAGATCACTTGCTTTAATGAAGAGCATCATCCTATCTTTCCAACAGGCGTAACTTGTTCTATTAAAATAAGGTGGCTTGTTGATCGGCTGAGAATCTTCAATATATCAGTAGCTGAAGATTAAAGTCATCCTTATCAGTTGATTGAATAAATTGATAGAGCTCTCCAAGGATCTTCACAAGATTGTTAAATCATCGATTTTGACCCCTATGATACCAATTGTTAGCTTTATCAATCAACTGAAAACCGCCAAGAGGGGGCAATTGGTCTTTGAATGATTTGTGGTGGAAGCAATTAAAATTAAAAACTTTGCACAATGATTTAGAGTGGTTCGACTTCTAAAACAAGTCTACATCCACTACCTTAGTTATCCACACTAAGGATTTATTAAATCCACTAGATTAGCAAATCTTTAATGATAAGGTGAAAACTTACAATAACACACAAGGTTTATACCCAAAACCTTGCTTACACTCTCTCCACAAGAAAAAAAATACTAATTTAGCAAACAAAAAGAAAACCTCACAAAGGCAAATGAGTTTGTAACTAAAAACTCTTTTGATGTTGTTTAAATCAGTATAGATACTCACCCATCGGTCTCGAGACCGAGATCATGGTATCGATACCAAAAACCATTCTGGAATTTTGGTATTAAGATTTCTTTATTAATATCAATATTGGATAGTTTTTTGGATAAAATTCAAGTGTTTGGAGCTTTAAAATGATATTTATAAAATGTAAATATACTCAATAACAATTGTGATTATTTTTCACACTTAAAAATGCTATAAAAATGTTTATGACAATTATTTATAAAATCATGAATTGCAAACTTTAAAACTTAAAATTTTAAAATAATCATATTATATCAAAATCAAAACTTAGTTCAGCAATCTCCCCCTTATTGATATAACACAACATTTTGTTATTTTTTTTAATGATTTGTCATGCTTTGTGGAAAATAAAGTCTCCCCCATAGAAAAATAATTTTTGGCTGGCAAATTTTACACTTATACATATTTCTCCCCATTTTTGTTATAACAAAATCAAATTAAACTTCAAAAGAGAAAATATGTTAGTGTAAATAGGGAACTCAAATATTCAAAATAAAATATTCAAAAGTCAAATCATAAGCATAAAATCAACATCAATAATAGTTCAAATTCATACATTATCAAAATAGGAAAGTATCAACCATAAAGTAACATAAATTTCCAAAATTAGTCATAATGTGCATGAGTCCAAAAGTAAATGTATATGTCCTAAAATTACATAAAAATGTCTATTCTTCCTGATGTGGAGGCGAAGAAGATGGAGGCATCAAGTGATGACGTATTGAGCGAACATCATTTTCAAGCGTGTCCAAATGAGTATTTATGTTATCAAGACTTTGCATCACGTGATCGTACAAGGTATTCATTGATAACACCTCTTGAGGTGGCACTGGTGGCTATTACATTTCATCCTCTTCCTCCTCAATGTCGTCCAAGTTTTGTCTTCTAAAAGGACGCCACTCACCGAAAATGTCATAAAAAACCCAATTGGCCTTATGGGTCGATTTGATGTCGATGAAACTAATGAGGGGAATATGAGGGTCAAGGATGGTAGACACTCTAAGTTTATCCCTAAAAATATAGCTATGAATACAAGCATAGGGAAGCATTTTAGTGTAATTGACCTTTTATGGATAACATCAACAAGGTCTAAGAATATTATCTTGGCAAAGTTTGGTCGGATGTTGTTCTTAATATGATAAAACCACTAATAGTCACAAGTTCGCATATGGGTAGCCTTACCACCGGAAGGACGAAAAAACCAAGTAATGAGGAGCAAACAAATAGTTGGAAAACTCGATATAGGTGCAGCTATCATTTGGGAATCTCAACATATGAATAATTGAATTTTCTTTGAATGGATCATCTGTATTATCAACGATATTCAAATACGAAGCAATGGAGGATAAAGTAGGAGTGAAACTATGGCCCATGAGATAAGACTCAATTCCAACGACTTTATCCTTATTATCTTGGGCATGGACAAGAATAACATTAGAAAAGAAAACACGAAAATGATTTGGATTAACCTTGGGATGAATGCTAAACAAGTCTAATCAACCCTACGAGATGAAGGTTTCAAAGATAGGAAATTGATACTCCCATGACATATGAAAATCAGGGTCTATGGTACGTTTGGAATGGATAAGTTTTGTTTTGTAAAAGCGATTGAACATACTGAGAGTATCGAGAATCCTAAAGCAAGCATTTTCAAAACTTGCGGAATTAGATTGACCTTCAAGGATAGTCCTACTAGCCCTAGGTTGCTTGTTGGAAGTTCTAGGAGGCATTTTTTATAACAAAAGATGGATACGACAAAAATAATTTTTGTTTGGGAATTTTGTCGAGCACTTGAAGGGCAAACCTAAAACAATGGTTATAGGTGAAAATGGTGAATGGGTTGACCTCATACAAGAAAAATATGCATGTATATGTCCAATAAATAACCCAATTACAGCAAAAAAGATAAATTTGTGCACATTTAAAAAATTCAAAACCCTTATGAAGACATTTTTTGAAAAATTCTTGAATGAAAACATGTTGTTGATTCACTAAAAATAAGTTCAAATGATATATATCATTTCTAGAATCAAATGTAACTTAAAAACATGATTCAAAATGAATTTAGAGCATGATTTTCAAAAAAAATAAAAAAAAATAGATTCATTCAAAACATATCTCAATCTTGATAAAACAAATGTGGGTTTTTGATGATTTCCTTTAAGCAAATCCACTTGATACTATGCAAGGATGATGAATTTGAGTAAAATTTGAGTGGAAACAAATTTGAGTAGAGAGGATTTGAGAGAATTTTAGGAGAGGGCCAATTAGGCTTTTGATAAAATAAGAAATTTAGTTATTTTTAGATAAAAAGGCACAAAAACATGCGTACAAAACCCCCAGTCTCGATACTGGGACTGACGGTCTCGGGACTCAGTGCCTAGTGTCAATAATAAACATGCGATATTGATATCATTTTAGCTACTGGAATTTTGATCTCGATACCAATGAGTTGGTCTCAAGACTGACTGCTTGGAAATGTAAAATTTGACATTAACCCTCAAAAACTTCCAGAATAAGCACTTAATGATTTTAAGGTGTTTTCCTATGTACTTTACTAGAGTGTATATTATGGACTTTTCAAAGAATTTTCTAATTAGAACAAACAAGGTCCAAAACGTACTACAAAAAATAATTAAGGCAAAAGAATATAAAATTCAGCATACAAGACCACAAAAATACAATTCATGCAATATTAACTCCCTCTCACTAATTGCAATTAAGCACTATTTGGGAACACACAATCAAGCACAAAAACATATGTAATCACATAAAAGCACAAAAATTGAATGAAACTAAAACATTTTACAACTTAAATTAAGATTGATTTGTTAAATCTCCCTCTCTTCAAGTGTCATTCCTTAGTATGTATAGAGCCTCTAAATACCTTGACATTGCTCACCATTGCTCCAACACATCTGTAATAGACAATTATGCAAATTTTGGCACCTAAATCTTTTTTGGGTCTATTAATGTTAGTTTCAAACAATTTAGTCCCCTTAGGTATCCATAGAGATATGATATCCTTATCTTCAGTAGCAATGAGTCCTTTAGGGACCCATATACTCTTAATCATTTTTCCTTTAAAATATTTAGGGGAATAAGCATGTCTATTGTAAAAGCTATTTTTGACAAAATTTGATTTGAAGTAATCTTTTCTTTCAAATTTATTTTTAATGATTTTTCAAAATTAGCCTTTTCTTTCTCAAGATCATCAATTTTCCTTTGATAATCCCCATGAACTTTGGAAAGCAAGTTTTACAAGTCTAAATTCTTTTTCACAAAAAAAATTGATTTATCTTACAAATCCTTGACTTTGTTTTCAAGTTCATTATTAGTATTAGAAAGTAAGTCATTTTCAATTATTAATTTTGAATGAATCTTTGTGTTTTGAAATCATGACGTCACATTCCAACACTAACTCGTCATAGGCGTCTTGTAACTCGTCAAATGTATATGAATTTGAGTTAGATAAGTTTGAGGATACCTTTGAATCTTCTTGGATGGCCCTGAGGAAAAATTTGCTACTTCTTCATTTTTATCATTGGTGACATCTTCATCACTCCATGTAATCGCAAAAGTCTTCTTGCTTGACCCCTTATTCTTTATAATATGACATTAATATTTGACATGTCTCGTTCTTTGGCATTCATAGCATATCGGGAGACCTTTCTTCTTACTCGATTCATGCTTCACTTTTTTTTTTCCTTTGGAAGACATGAATTTTATGAATCTTTTGAAGAGCTTGGCCATATATTCTTCTTTATCATCCAACTCTACACTTGAATTTTCTTTATCTTCATTGGTGGACTTGAAAGCGATGTCAACATCCTATATATTCTCTCTTTCTTTTCTTCTTATTTCTCATCTTCTTTTACTATTGATTCACGAGTGAGTAAGGAACCAATAAACTCATCAAAAGTGAGAGACTTTAGGTTCTTTACTTCGATAATTGTCGTCTTCTTGCCAATATTTTGGAAGAGAATAAATCATCTTCCTCACAAGTTTTTCATTATGGATGATCTATCCATATCCCTTGAGGTCATTGACAATCATGGAAAATCTATCCATCATAGCTTTGATATATTCATCCAGTTTCATCTTGAAGTCTTCATAACTATGGTTAAGAATACCGATTTTTGTTTCCCTCATTTCATCTGTTCCTTCATGAGAGACTTAGAGCTTGTCCCAAATCTCCTTGGCATTTGAACAAGAGGAGACTCTTCCATATTTATTCGGGCCTAATGCAAGAAAAAAAAATATGCATGGCCTTGACATTTTGTTGGAACTTCTTCTTCTCTTCTTCACTCCAATCTTTCATCTCATTGGTTAGAACATAGTGACCTTTAATTATAGATTCTCAATCATTTAGATCACTTGCTTGAATGAAGGGCATCATCCTATTTTTTCAATAGGCATAATTTGCTCCATTGAAATAAGATGGCTTGTTGATCGATTGAGAATCTTAAATGTAGTAAGAGCAGGAGGTTGAAGCCATCTTTATCAGTTGGTTGAATAAATTGATAGAGCTCTCCAAGGATCTTCACAAGGGTGTTAAATTATCGATTGTGACCCGCTCTGATACCAATTGTTAGACTTATCGATCAATCGAAAACCTCCAAGAAGGGGAATTGGCCTTTGAATGATTTGTTGTGGAAATAATTAAAATTAAAAACTTTGCAACACGATTTAGAGTGGTTTGACTTCTAAACCAAGTCTGCATCCACTACCTTAGTTATCCACACTAAAGACTTCTCAAATCCACTAGATTTGCAAACCTTTTAAGGAAAAAGGTGTAACCTTACAACCACACACAAGTTTTATATAAAAAAAAACCTTGTTTACACTCTCTCCACAAGAATTACAAATTTAGCAAACAAAAAAAAAATCACAAAGGCAAATGAGTTTGCAACTAATTAAGCACACTCCCAAATTACACTTAAGCAAGAATAAACAAGAAGCTCACAAGTGTATTACAATGATCTGACAATTTAGCACTAAAAACTCTTTTGATGTTGAATTGATCTTGCAATTGACTTTCTTGTTGTTCTCTATTTAAATCTTGATCCCTTTTATGTATTCTAACATAAATCTAGCCATTTGGAGCCGTTGGGGATTGAATATAGATGTTGGATTCATTAGTTTTGAGCATTTAATGCTCACTTGCACATTTGGTATCGATACTAACAAGTTGGTCTCGAGACTGAGCCTTCCAGCGGTCATAAATATAGCCGTTGAGCCATCGGTATCAATACTATTTGAATTAGTATCGATACCCACCCATCGGTCTCGAGATAGAGACCGTGGTATCGATGCCAAAAACCATTCTAAAATTTTGTTATCGAGACTGCTTTATTGGTCTTGAAACTGAATGGTGTTTTGGCTAAAATTCAAGTGTTTTGAGCTTTAAAATGATATTTATAAAATGTAAATATTCTCAATAACACTTGTGATTATTTTTCACACTTATAAATGCTTTAATAACGTTTATGATAAATTATTTATGAGATTGTGAATTTCAAATTTTAACAACTTAAATCATTAAAATAATCATGTTATATCAAAATCAAAACTTAGTTCAACATAAATGTTAGGTTGAATAGGGGTGGCATATTCGTTCGTCGCTGAAACCGCCCTTGTCCGATGGATCATCAACAAGTCGTCACATTTTTTTGCGCATTACGAGGGGTGTCGGCGCTTTCGATAGTCATACTAGGGTTTTTTTAAATGATTATTTTTTTAATACATTTATCTCGTATTTGATAAGTAAATGATAATTTCCAATTATCTTAATTTAAAATTATATAAATTGTGAAAAATAATATAATATTTTTACGATAATATCAGTTTTATTTAAAAATATTTTAATCAGTGGTAGTGTTTCTCATTTTACACAATAGATATTTGCCACGATAACAAATAGAGATGAACACATGATTTTATATATAGGAGGTAAATTTATAAAATTTAAATGGAATAAATTTATAAAAATTTGAGAGGCAGCGACAACAAATTATTTTTTAAAATACATAAAAAATTAAAAAAATATATTTTTTTGAAAATTTTCAAGAAAACTATTACTCTATTCGTTTTTCAGTCCATCAATGACAGCGGTTGTCAGATAATCTAATACGAAGAAAGATTTTCTATTTTAAGAGTTGTTTAATTCTTATCGTATTTATTTAGTTGTTTCGGTTGGCTGCTTCTGATTTCTATATATATATATATATATACTTATTATTATTAAGTTTTTGATTGAAATAATATTATTGGTTAATTAAATATTAGTCCAGTTAAAAATGATTAAAATATCTGTTTATTTAAATACTAAATTATGCAATTATTAAATTATTATGATTTTGTATTTTTATACTTTTTAATAAAATAATTAAATATTATTTATTTAGGGATCAAACAAGAACTTATTAAAATCTATGCATAAATTTTTATCTCTTAATTTTTAATCATTATTGATTGAATTTTTTAATTTTTTTTTTGGATAAATCAAATTTTATTATCCAAAGAGTAGTGTTCAACTACAAAACAATCAACCAATCTGTAACAAAAGAACAATAATCAACCTACTTACAAAAACATAGATTGGTTAGTCAATTCCCCAAGCTTTACATAGGTGATCATTAATACTATCATTTCTATTAATATTTCTATCCTTAAGCTGAATCCTCACTGCTTCTTTAATAACCTTTAACAAGTTCTCGGTAGTTCTAAATCTGCCTTGAAAGACTCGGTGATTTCTTTCCTCCCACAATGTGTAGATATAAGCAGTCCATGAGATCTTCAAAACAATGGTGAGTAAAGATTTCCCTTTCCATGTTGTAGTAGCCCGAATAACCATTTCATCCCAAGATAAGTAAGCCTTCTGCAGTCCACTTAGAGACAGTATAGAGTTCCAAAGCTGAACAACAATCGGACAATTTGAGAAAATATGATTTCTTGTCTCTTGCTCAATATTGCAATTAACACAAGCCCCTTCCAAGATGATTCCCATTTTGAGTAACCTATATCTAGTAGGAAGTCTATTCAGCAAAGCCATCCAAGAAATTAAGCTGAATTTAGGAATGTGCAAAGGTAATCAGATTAATTTGTGCCAAGGAACTTTTTCCCCTTTGATTCGGATAGCTTCCCAGATATCAGAAAGCTTTAAAGAACCAGAAGAAGAAATAAGAGGATAAATAGTAGCACGTATTTTTAATATTCTGCTAACAGTGTAGCTCAAGTTAGAACCTGCATTATAATCCCAAAAATCAAGATCCTTAAGAATATAATCATATAGCCAAGCAACCCAAAGAGAACCATCTTTCACAATGATTTTCCTAATGAGATCAATAAGGCATGCTTTTTTCCAGATGTTAATGTTTTTTTTAGGTCGAGGCCTCCTTCAGATTTTGAAAAGCAATAGAGTCCCAACTGACTCTAGCACCTGCAGCTGCCTTGTCTTCGCCTTTCCAGAAAAATTTGGAACAGAGTTGATTAATCTTTAATAAGATCGATTGGGGAAGAATAAGTTGTCTACACCAGTAGTTTGAAACACTGAACAGGACTGAACGAATGAGTTCAAGTCTGCCAGCATAACTCAGATTTATGTTAGACCAATGATGAAGCCTTTGTTTTTTAATTTTATTTTATACTTGAGTGTGATAAAATCCAGTATACATATATTGTTCAAAATAAAACTGAATAAATTCTTGGATTGAGATTTCAAGTACACGTGTGCAAAAATAATACTTAGTAATGAGATATATACATTAATAAAATACTAATAAAGATATCATGATATTCCTTGCTGGAGAAAAATAGCATGGCCATTTAAATAGGTCAGACTCGGATTGATGCTGCTTAATTTGGTAATGGGTCTAGGTTTCACACCTTACCAAACCAAAATTATATTTATATCTTTGCATTGTTATTTATAGGCACTGCATTAAATCTTAACCTAATCTTTCAACTATATATATAATAAACAACATCAACTTGAGAAAAATATAAAATCACATTCCGCTTATCATTTTTTTCCTCTTTTGATTCTTTGTCGTAAGAAAAGAAAGCATCACTTTAGTTATAATCACAAACAAATATAATATTTTACATTAAGAGATAAATTTATAAAATTTTAAGGGAATGAATTTATAAAACTTTAAGAAACAAAACATAGATTATTTATAAAATATATAAATATAAATTATATGAGATTTTAAATTTTTCAAACCACCTCAATCTAACTCTGATGGCAGAAACCAACATAGAATTTTATGTTAGAGAAATAAATTTCTAAAATTTTAAAAGGGGCAAACTTCTAAATTATGGAAGATCAAAATAGGTTATTAATAGATATATATATATATATATATATATATATATATAACTAAAATATATGATAATTTGATAAATTTAGAGGATAGCTGCACCAACTCCAACTGATCTATTTCGATTCGATCAATCCCTAACTATAATTAATCCTTCCAAGATCACCTTGGCTTTTAAGCACCCTTCCCCCATTTTCATGCTTCTTTTACTCTCCTTTTACAATCCAACAACTCCCTCCTTTCATCCCGTGAACCCCACTGGCATGCTTGAATGTCCAGAGACAGGTAAAAATCTTTCCGGATTAGTCAAGTTAACAAAGTAATCTTCCTATGGAAGAATCTAGTGACTAAAAAACTTGTGGATCTGTTATCAGGAAAGATTTGATGAGACAGGGAAGAAGATAAAGACAGATGCATGTTTCGAAATGGAGAGGAGACAGCTGTTGGGTCCTCCAGGGACCTTGAACACCATCACACCTTGTGCTGCATGTAAGCTCTTGAGGAGGAAGTGTGCGGAAGAGTGTTCTTTCTCTCCTTATTTCTCCCCACGTGAGCCCCACAAATTTGCCGCCGTTCACAAAGTTTTTGGTGCAAGCAATGTCTCCAAGATGTTAATGGTAAATTAAACCTTCTTTTTCTTTTTCTGACGGTCACCAATTTCAGTTTATTATATACGCAGTTTTATGGGGTTTACAGGAGGTGCCGGAGAGCCAAAGAGCCGATGCGGCGAGCAGTCTGGTGTATGAGGCGAACTTGAGGCTCAGAGATCCGGTTTATGGCTGCATGGGTGCAATCGTGACTTTGCAACAACATATGCAGACTTTGCAAGCCGAATTGAACGCTGTAAGAGATGAGATACTGAAATACAAGTTTAGAGAAGTTACTGTTACTTTTAGTCACACTCAGACTGCTCTGATTTCTGCTGGTGGGGCGGTACCAATTGCTGCTCCGTCGTCTCCTCTTCCGCCAACTCCTCCTCCTGTTCCGCCACGGCCATCAACTTCCATTGTTGTCTCATCATCTTCCTCATCTTCCGCATCTAATTCTCTGTATACATCGTCAACCACAGCAACCGGATATGGCTCCATTTCAAGTGATAACGTTACATATTTCGACTAATTCTATAAGCTACATAATCCGATTCTTTCCCCTTTATTTCAAGTATTTGCTATCAGATTTCAAGTTTTCGTTTCTATTTAAAAAATTCTATCAAATAAGTAATCTTGTTCTATCTTCCCTAGCACCCAACTTTCATAGCTCCGTCGTTCAAGTTGCAAAGCGTTTTTTACTTGGTTTCCCGAGTTAAAAAAAATGTAGTGAAAATGTCAACCCATTAATTGTTGAAATGAGAAGCATGGGGCATTACCCATTGCCAACAAATGACCACAAAAGTCAACACCATCCGCCTAGGCAACAAATTCAACTACGCACGGGAGGCGTTCATGTTAATTACAGTGCAGTATAGCTATTTTCCACAAGGAGACGGTGGACAAGATCCATCATTGATCATCACACGTGCAGGTAATATGATTGGAGTTTGACTAGCTTGCATAAGCATGGATTTAATTTGGGTTTTTTTTTATTTTTGCAATATATTTATGGCGATTACCAATATAGCGAGTGTAATTGTGAGTATCGTGGTCATGCAAAAATAAACAGTACTATTATCATTATATAACGATTCTACTCTAGTAACGGACCACTGTTTAAATCCAAGGAATTTGTATTGTATTGTAAAAAGATAGGAACGTGTTCAGGGGAGACAAATAACATATGCTGCCTCATGCAAATCCTGATCCTCCCATGTGAAGTTGAAAGCTTGCAATTAATTTGGAATATTGTCATTAAACTCACTGTTTTTTCTCCTTGTAAATTACCTTGTTTCCAGTGTCCCACTTCTCGAGATTTGAGTTTGTGCTGACTTTTATTTTAAATTTGCATGCATCCTTTTGATAATTCTCATAATTAATTTCTACCGAGTCATAGAAAATGATAACCAAATTTTAACCCTGAAATCCCTGGGGTACTCTACTGCATTTCTGAAATAAGGTTAGAGAAGATATCCCACTTACTTCTGCACGATTTCCCGTCTTTATGTATATATACATGCATATTTCTCCAGCTGCCATAGGTATATATAGAGTAAAGCGATGGAGCAACCAATAAGTTCTTGCTGCTGAATGTATATGACAGCACAGTTTTAACTTCTAGAGGTAAACGGTATAAAAATGCTTACCAATTTAAAATTGGTAATTTTGTTATTGAATTTTTATATGATATCTAGATTATCCATAATCTAATTTTATATTTAAATACTTTCGAACTCATAATTAATTGTTATAATGGTAGTTTTCTTATGGATGAAATCGAAAGATTTTCAAATTCAACCAACACAGTATAGATACATGTAGATTGATGGTCACGTTTTACATTATGTATTCTTAGAAGGTTATGGTTTCCTTGGCGTGTGGAGCTCAACATGATCGATGAACCCGAGAAAAATATGAATAGCCCCCTCATTTATATAATGTACGATATAAGAAAGAAACGTAGATGATAATAAAAAAGAGTACAAAATACCAAATTAAAGGAATGTACTTTATTAAAAATTAAAAAGTTAAATTATATGTCTCGTTAAAAACTTTCTTAAATTTATTTGAAAAAAAAGGTAGATAGTACAACGTATGACTATAATACAACACAACTTACTACCATGCTTTGAACAATTCAGCCCTCGAGAGCCCCTCTTTCGCTAAGAAAACTGTAACGAACAAATTTCTCGAGACAACCTCTCAACTTCATCGAAAACGTTGCACCATCTCCAGAGCCTCGTTAATGGAAAAGCAATCCAATTTAGAACAATTTAACAATCTGACTCTATAAAGGGACACTTTTCCTATCCAGTCCGCCTCTTTGAAAATAAACAAGGCTGTCTCACATTGTAGTTGCTTTAAATGTTTGCATCTTCGTTTTTTTTTGTTCTTTACAAAAAAGAAAAAAAGTCATGTAGTTTTCATCCATGAATGTAACACCCATAGTCCATATACGTCTCAAAATACGAGCTAAAGATGTTATATCAACTTTACAAACATTCACTGATCATAAATGCTTAAAATTTTGTTTACATTATAAAACATTTCATTATTAACTTTAGCATTATTCAATTAATCGTGTAAAATCATAAAATAATTATTATCATATAATCAATCTTAATTTTAGGTAGAAGTTTAGTAGTTCAATAGTAAACAATAATGCTTAAAAACAACCTAATTTTAAAATATTTCTTTGTTGTCATAAAATATAATTTTTATCTCAAATATAAAACTTCGATTCATATTTATAACTCTAATAACACATCTTTTCTCAATAGCTTGATCAAATGGGAGACAGTCATCGAAAAGTTTTTTTTACGAACCTTCAATAAAAACCAGCAATCCCTAAAAACTTCGAATCTCATAATCACTCTTTGGAATTTATCATTCGACTATGGTTTGTACTTTCCTAAAGTCTATTCTTATCCCTTCAGCTCAAACCACATGTCCAAGAAATGTAATTTTAGACAACCAGAACTCACATTTTATCAACTTAACATACAATTCTTTCTCTCGTAGAGTTGGGAGAGTCATGCAAAAATGTGCATCGTATTCTTCTTTAGTCTTAAAATAGACCATATTATCATCGATGACCACTAGCATCAATTAGTCCTAGTATAACTAAAATACTCAGTTTATCAAAACCATAAATGTCGCAGAAACATTCATTAAACCAAAATGCTTTACTATAAACTTGTAGCATTCATATTGAGTCCTAAAAGCTTTCTTAGGAATATCTTCTTCCTTAATCTTTAGTTGATAATATCCATATCGGATATTAAATCTTGGAAAACATCAATGCACCTTTTAACTGATCAAAAGATCATTAATCCTCGAAAAAAAATATACTTATTCTTTATCTTATTTTGACTGATAATAATCCATTCATAATTGCATAGACTCATATTTCTTTTTCACAATTAACACTAGTACATCCCATATGACATGCTTGGTTCTGTAAGTATCAGATCTTAACAATTCTAGTAACTATACATTTAATTTTCTGGGCTCAGTCAGAGTCATTCAAAACGAGGCTATAGAAATAAACACAATATCTGGTAACATCTCTCTTTTATATTTTATACCTTAATCTGGAGGTAATCTAGGCAACTCTTCTAGAAACATATTTGAATACTCTCAAATAGTTGGAATATCTTCCAACCTAACCTTAAAATTCTATACATCCTTCACATTGATTAAGAATACTTAACAACCTTGTAACAATAACTTCTTGACAGTTACTGCTAAAATCACATCTAATAACGGATTTAATTACCACTATAATCTCATAACCTTTCGAGTTCTTTTAAATCGATCACTTTAAGTGATAATTCATTATGCCATGGTAAGAGGCAACCAATCTATATAAAAAATTACCATCGAAATATAATTCTATCAAGACCGTCAAGACTTATCACTTTGAAATTTTAACTGACAATTATTGTCTGCGAATACGACTCACCCTCGCACTCTGGCCTAAAGGGTTAGTCATGCATATGTCACTTAGGGTCTATTTTATTAGAATGTCCCTCTATTTAATCAATGTAGTACTTTATATGAACAAAGGTTTCTTAATCTTACATTAACACTTCTTATGGTGTCGGTGCACCATCAAAATTAGATTAATCAAGAGGATTATAATTAACTATATTATTATCACTATCTTCCTATTCTTGAACCTCTTGTTCGATCATTTACCTTAAACCTTCTATTTCAAACATTTTCTACATATACTATACTTATTCAATTTCATTAGTAAGGAGTGGCTTCAATCAAATCATATACAAAATATATCAGTAACAATGACATCCATCCTAGTGGCATGTATACACTTTTTAGCTCGAAATAAGTTCGGTTTAGGCCTAGAATCAGCTAAACATGATGCTCTGATACAAAACAATATAACACTCATAGCCCGTATACGTCTCAAAAAATGAGATAAAGATGTCACATCAACTTTATAAACATCCATTGATGATAAATGTATTAAAATTTGTTCCATTATTAACTTTACAATTGTTCCATTATTAACTTTACAATTATTCCATTAATCATGTAAAATCATAAAATAATAATTGTCATAAAAATCAAGCTTAATTTTAGGCAAAAGTTTAGTAGTTCAATAGTAAACAATATTGCTTAAAACTGCCTAATTTTAAAATAATTTTTTTGTTCTCGTAAAATATAATTTTTATCTAAAATATAAAACTTCAATTCATATTTATAACACTAATAATATATCTTTGACATTTCTTATTTGTATACACATCATCTAAAAAAATTAAAATAGTAGATGTCATTACTAATACTTGTAGTTGATCTTTGTTGATTGATGCCAATTCGACTCCTTACTTCACTTGCCCTTCTTTACATACACGTGAAAATCATCGCACGCTAAGTATTCACTTAGTGAGGCATTATAAACAAGCTAAGGTGGCATAAAATATTAAATAACTTAACAACATCATAACATTTCTTTATATAAAACTTAACTTAAAATATCATAACAATTCAAAACATCAAACTTAAATTCAAATAAAATCATTAAATATATAAACCAATTTATTCAAGTCGTCTTTCCTCAGCATAGATCTGAAAATCATCATCTCATGATTTTGTTAAAATCATGATAATAAATAATAAACATAACAATCATTGCATACTCTATTTCATTCAAATAATTTTCAAAACTTTCTTATTTTTTCTCATTTTCCACTTTCATATTCATTTACATATTCATTTTCATATTCCATGTTTATAATAAATACTTTCACATTTCATAATTTATTTTCTGAATCAGAACTTATTTCTAGATTCATAACTTATTTTCATACTCATAGCTTACTGTCAGATTCATAGCTTATTTTCAAATTCATATCCCAATGCATATTTATGAGAATGCAAGGTACGTGACTAGAACATAAGGTGCACATAAGGCACATAACAGTGCTAATCTTAACTAAAACATATAATGCACTCCAAGTGCAATCATAACATGAGAACCAACGGTGCAAATCATAATGTACACGAATGTACCATAATTTA